TCAATTCCTATTTTTCATAAAACTTCTTTACTTAATTGAGCCCTTTTCAACACTATTTTTTTTCATATCAAAACCATTTCAAAACTAGGTCAAGCACTCTTACATTACTCCTAGATTATTAGGTTCTGCCCCTCTAGCATGGGTACTGCCTTGAGATCCTTGAGATCTCTCTGAACTATGGCATGTCAGAGCTGGCCCTTCCACACTGCACTTAAATCAGTTATTGTTGAGAAAGGGTCTAGGTGTGAGCACTGCCCGGGATCCTTGAGGTCCTTAGGGAACTTTGACACACCTAGACATGATACTGTCTATGGAACTTTGGCATGTGAGGCTATTGGAGGCTTGTGAAGTAATTTGGGCCTGCTTCAGGCTCCCTATAATTAACTTGTTTTTTATTTGTTTATGTAATTTATTCAGCTGGTCTATAATAATTATTTGTAAACAACATTGGGGTTATTAGTGAAAAGGGGTGGGTAGTTATATATATGTTGGGTAATTCGGGTAGATACCATGCCTATAGGGCTTGTATTAATGCATTTGCTATGCTTGCTTTACTTCCACCATACTAGAAACCATGCCTATATGATCCAAATGGCTTTATAATTAGAAATCATGCTTATAGGATCTAAATGGCTTTGTAATTAGAAATCATGCTTATAGGATCTAAATGGCTTTGTAATTAGAAATCATGCATATAGGATCTAAATGGTTTTATAATTAGATATCATGCCTGTAGAGTGTAAAGTGACTAAGTTAAGTTTTTGTTACAATATTTGTTTCACTAGAAATCATGCCTATAAGTTCCAAAATCAGCTCTTAACAATTAGATACCATGCCTATAGGAATTAAAATTAGTTCTAGTAGAAATCCTGCCTATTGAACTTAAAATTAGTTCTAGTAGAAATCCTACCTATAGAACTTAAAATCAATTTAGTTAAACAAATCAGTTTAATCCATGTTAGTTCCTTTTAAACTGGTTTAATCAACCGTCCGCTTCTTTAATGAGTTTTCAAACACTGCCTTAATTTTACTACCGCTAGAAAATATGTCTATAGGATCTCAAGTGTCCGTTTAAAACTATTCACTATTTTACCTAATCAATGTAGATATCATGCTCTTAGGACATCACTGTCCTGCGTTTAGACAAGCTTATAGGGCGATTTAAATTCTGCAACTCTGAAGTTGTGCTTTGAATATTTAAAACTTTTCAGATTTAATAGGTCTAAATCAGTAGGCAAGCTAAATAAGATTTTGAAACTTTGGCCTAATTCAATACTGTATAATCCCTGCTCACCTAGATATCATATTCTAGGATTTTCTCTTAAATACTTGACTGTTGTTTGAAGACGTGCATTTACTTGTTATATTTGTGGAGGTGACTGTGAGCCTGTAATTTGCTCTCTTTAAATGCAGTCCTACGTATTCTTGATTGACGCCTAGACTCTTGTCATTTAAAACCTTAGGAGGGTCTAGAACTATCCAAAAGTAGAGTCTCTATAACACCTCCAGGGCCACAAGGAAGGGACGAGTAGTGCACGCATAGGACATTTTCAAGGTTGCTAGAATGCTTTAGGCTATGACCAAGGGGAGGGACTTGGGTAGCAAAGGATCTGATGACTACGTGCTAATGTCACGTGTAGCCCCTCATTGAGGAGTGTTTACCAGGCATTGTGTGGGGTGATCCTATAGGCTAACCAACCTAGGACCCCTCTTTCCCAATTTCCGATGTTTAAACTTTACTCTTTTATATGAAACTTGTTCAAACAATTTGTCTTATTATTTGAGTCATACAATGTCCAACATGCTTTTACTTGCAATTATGTGTTTCAACTACTTATTTGTTAAAGGACTAATTCATAAGTATAAGTTCGGTCGGGACCCACCATTATGGACCGATAGGGGTGCCTAACACCTTATCCTCAAGGTTATTTCGAGCCCTTACCCTAAATATCTGGTAATGCAAACTAGTCTAAGAGTTAATCACTCTAGGTGCCCTAACGCACCATAATCCGTTAGGTGGCGACTATTCAAATACCCAAATCCCAAAGGAATGAGTTATTACCCCCATGAATGTCGGAACCCGGACTTTCTCTGCGGAGGAAAAAAGGGGCGCGACAGCATGACGATTCTGCTGGGGATACCTTTAGGCTCTTACCATAATGAACTTATCTTTTGTGAATTAGTCCAATCATGCTCCATCTCGTATCCTTTCCAATTATTTGAATTTAACTGCCTATTTTAAGCATTTATAATTATTTTATTCCTGAAACTGACTTGTCTCTTTGTTTTCTTTTTCTGTAATTGTCTTTCAATTATTTAAATACTGTATTTATTTTTTCTACGTGCAAATACTTGACTACATGCTATTTATTGCTGCATAAATCATGCTCCACATCATATTCCACTCGTGCGTATTTAATCCTATAGCAACGCTTGATGAGTGGTTGCGCTCTTCCTATTTATTACCCTTAAATGCTGAAAGGCTTATTTGCGGTAAAACCAGTCGATCAGCAGTGCAGTCGATGATTCCGTGCCTTTCCCCCTCAAGTTGTCCGCTTGAGGGTACTAGTCTAAACCCCCATAGTAACCTTACTCTGATCGAAATTGTGCATGCATCATGGTCAAAGTGCTGAAGGAATATGAAAATGCATCTGGGCAGCTTGTTAACAAGACCAAATCAGCTGTGTACCTGCATCATTTAACAGACATGGAAGTGGTCAGCAAGGTAGAAAGGATCATAGGCATTTATAGGAATGATTTCCCTATCATATATCTAGGTTGTCCGATATTTTATGCAAGGAGAAAGCTGGAATTCTATCAGCCCCTAATTACTAAGGTAATGGACAAAATGCAATCATGGCAGGGCAAGTTATTATCAGTAGGGGGCAGGGCAGTTCTCATATCCCATGTATTGCAAAGCATGCCTATACATCTACTTTCAGCTGTAAACCCTCCAAAGTATGTGATAAATAGGTTGCACAAATTGTTTTCTCGGTTTTTTTGGAGCAGCACTGTAGGAGGAACTAGTAGGCATTGGGCTTCATGGAATACCTTATGCATGCCAATTGAAGAAGGAGGAATAGGTTTCAGGTCACTGCATGATGTAGCAAACGCATTATTCAGTAAGTTGTGGTGGAATTTCAGAACAAAACCGAGCCTATGGAGCGCTTTCGTATGTCAGAAATACTGCAAAAAATTAAATCCTATTATTGTTCTGTGGAAAAGGGGGTCTCAAATCTGGAGAAAAATGTTGGAATGTAGAGATCTGATTGAACATCAAATCCTTTGGCAAACAAAAATGGGATCCTCACTATTTTTNAGATAATATGATATTTATTAGTTTCAAATTATATTCCTTTCAATTTGTAGGATATCATGACAATTTATTTTAATTTTTATTTTTGTTATATATAAAACTAGCCCTAGGTGCTTGCCTAGCGGATTACCAAAAAAAAAAAAAACCTAGTCGGATCAATTATGTTGTCCACATAATGATCCTTTTAAGATGAGTCTTATCCAAAGTCCATCGGGGTTTCCATAATCCCAACAACCATGTTCTGTGCATTAATTTGGAGAACTAAATGCCAATATGCTAATCATGAATGTATAAATAGTCGAGTCTGGTGGGGAAGAAAGGCCTAACCCTTTTGTTTTGCGGAAAATGAGGCACTAGGTCCCCAGATTCGGTATGGTTAGCAACATTTTACCATTGCTGCTAGATTGGTGGGAGGACCTTTCCTCAAGTGACAAGAAACATGTAAGAAAGTACCTACGTAACTTTCCTTCCCTATTAGACATTGAGCCAAACAACAAGTTGATCGAGGCTGCCACTTTATTTTGGGACAGTGAAAGGTCTATATTCCATTTCGACGACATAGAAATGACACCACTTCTAGAATCTTACATACCATTCAAATATATGTATGAGAGGTATGGCCATAACAAGTCCTACCGTACCTACCATGATGAGCTCTCTCTCACTTCTCTAGGCAACATCTACCGTAGGGTGTTCGTGTTCAATGTATGCTTCCTAGGCCTGATAGTATTCCCAATGAAAAAGGAAAGAATCCACACTAAGTTGGCCATGGTCGCCAAGACTTTGATGGAAGGGATCAATGGATAGACATACACTATAGTCCCTATGATCATAGCCGACATCTACAGGGCTCTGGAGCACTGTCAAAGAGGGGTCAAGCATTTCGAGGGTTGTAACTTGTTGCTGTAGTTATGGTTGTTAGAACACTTTCAAAAGGGTCACTATCGCCAAGAATTTCTACGACGGGCTTGGAACGACCATATTGCCTTCCATCACCCCAAGCAGATGACTTACATCCCAGACAGGTTTGCTCAGCCGGAAAGTGCCAAAGAATGGGTAGAGTTCTTTGACCATCTGACCGAGGAACAGGTGCAATGGATGTTTGAATGGTTCCCAACAAACAAATTCATCATCAGATCTTGGGATGCTTTACACTTCATGCTGATTGGGTTGAGAGGGATATGCCCTTATGTCCCTATCCGAGTTATGAGTCAAGCAGGCAGGAAACAGGTTGTACCAAGGGTTGCCAAGATAAGTCATTTCAGGGAAGACTTTCAAGACGACAATGTCCCTTACAAGTGCCAAGCTCAGCATATGTGGAACTACAAAATCATTGTGGAAAAGAACACTGTTGAGCCAGACAGGTATCATGTAGGGTGTGAACCTCTATACCCAGCAAGGTTGGAGGACAATCTAAAAGGAACAGTGATACTAGGAGCCGGTCGAGGGAATATGATCATAGACAGAGAAGCTGAAGCTCAAGTCAAATACAATAGGTTGCGCAAGAGGGTCCACGACTCTGAGAATGAGCATCGGGAAATACATGAGAGGAATGTAAGGTTGATTGAAGAATGGAAAGAGATGGCAGTCACTTCCAATAGGAAACTGGAATATCTGGAGCGAGGAATAGTGGAGCTAGAAGGCAAAGTCATAAAGAGGATCGAGGATTGCCAAAATGCTGAAGGAGCTGAAGGAGGACATCTGGCTAGAGCCTACTTGCTGCTGGGTCGAGATGGGAGACCTATATGATGGAGTTAGGAAGATCGAATCCGGGGAAGGTCCTTCTGGGACCAAATAGGCTAGATTTATTTGCTTTCCTGAAATGTAATAAGGCCAAGTGCCAGTAGTGACTTATTTTTCTATTATCTTAGTGTCATTTTGGGATTCGTCTATTTTACATTATGAAATGAAGTATTTATTGGCATCTAAAGTTTTCCAAATCTATTTGTTGCTAGGACTACCTCGGGCACAACAAGGCTCCCAAACTAAGACACAAATTTACATTTTCACAATATGTGTTTAAATATTGCAAACATTTTTGAATCCTCATTGACTTGTTACCTTTTATTTTTGCTTATTGTTGATTATTCCCATTCCCTTAGGTTGGTTCACTCATACTGGCCTCATCAGCATATCATACCAGATCTAGAGGCCCTCCACCTCCTCCTCCTCCTCCGAGCAATACAAAAGGTAGAGGAAAAGCAAAAATGGACGACTTAAGTGGTATCCGAAAGGAGAATATTGAGAACGCAGAAACCTTAGATGGCCGTAGTACTCTGGCCCCAAATGATCTAGTCTTGAGACTTGAACAAAAGATACTGGAGCTACAAGGAGAACTTGAGCAAGTTCGCAACTTGGCAAACTTGTGGCTCACCCTAAATATCCCCGACATCAACCAATAGAACACAAAGACCGACACCTCCCCAAAACACACAAAACCAACATCCACAAAATCCTCCCGCACCAAATCAATATGCAACTTCACCTTAAAATCTCAATCCATTGCCAATACCAACTCCACCACAACATCACCATCAACCAATTCAGTACCCACCAACAACCACTTACCACACTCCCTAAAACACACCACAACCCATTCCCGATCCCCAAAACTCCACCAATGACCATCATTACACCCAAGTCCCTGGCACCCTTAAAAGCAACCCTATATACGTAGAAACTGTACCTCACTCCATCCAACCCATCTCCTATACACCGGAATCCTCCGAAAAGGACCTGGTCATTAAAAACATGGCTGAAGAACTCAAGAAGTTGACAAGCCGAGTTCAGGATGTTGAAGTCGACAGAAGAATAGAAGGTTTGAACTATGAAGACCTGTGCATACAACCAGATGTAGAACTGATAGAGGGGTACAAAATTCCCAAGTTTGAGATGTTCGACGGTACAGGTGATCCCAGGATTCATCTGAGGACCTACTATGATAAGCTTGTCGGAGTCGGGAAAGATGAAAAGATCTGGATGAAACTCTTTATGAGGAGTCTTACTGGGGATGCTTTGTCTTGGTACATCAGCCAGGACCCCAAGAAATGGTCCAGTTAGGTAAGTATGGCATCCGATTTCATGGACCAGTTCAGGTTCAACACAGAGTACGTACCAGATGTTTTCTACATTTAGAATCTTAAGAAGAAACCTGATGAAACTTTCTGTGAGTATGCTACTCGTTGGAGGTCGAAAGAGGCCAAGGTCAGGCCATCTTTGGACGAGGAACACATGAACAAGTTCTTCGTCAAAGCACAAGATCCACAATATTATGAAAGGTTGACAATTATCAAAAATCATAAATTCTCTGATATCATCAAACTTGGAGAAAGAATCGAAGAAGGAATCAAGAGCGGGATGGTAACGAATTTTGAGGCACCACATGCCATGAATATGGCATTACAATCAGGTGGCATATCGAAGAAGAGAGATGTTGGGGCAGTAGTGGTGGCCTAGGGCCCAAAATCTCCACTTACCTATAAAATGCCTCCACCCACATATCAAACACCTCCACCCATATATCAAACACCTCCACCCACATACCAAGCACCGCCGCCCGCATATCAGCCCTCATCTCCCAGATATTCCCAACTAGCCACTGTCCATCATACCTATAACTCCCAACCATCACATTTCTGATAACCTCCAACTCGCCAAAACTTTCCAAGACAAAGACCCAACTTCGACCACAAGCCACCCAGACAATACACTGCTATTGCTGAGCCCATTGACTAGCTGTATGAAAGGTTAAAAGCCGCGGGTTACGTCACTCTTGTTCCTGCTGTGGCATTAGAAAACCCATCCCAATGGGTCAATCTGAACAAAACTTGTGTGTACCATTTCAGTATGAAGGGGCACACCACTGCTAAGTGCCAAACATTTAAGGATAAGATCCAGACGCTAATTGACATCAAGGTCATACAGGCAAAGGAAACCGCACCTAATGTTCGCAACAACCCCCTCCCTGATCATAAAGGTAGTAGAGTACATGTGATAGAGACAAACGAAGAGTGGGACCCTGAGGGGTCGATTGGGATTATTTGAGAAGGTGATAACTTTAAAGTTGCAGTCACACTTACTCCTATCATAGTACAGACTCAGTCACCAATCGAGGTTGAGGTAACTACATCAGTTCCATTTTAGGTAGAGGTGGCTTCGCCTGCGGCCACCCCTGCTCCATTTGAAGTAGAAGTGGTCACACCTTTCATAGTGATAGTATCAACCACACCTCCCTTTGATTCAAAAGCAATACCTTGGGATTATGCAGCCGAGGCTCGGCGAAAAGGGAAGGCCAAGGTAGAGTAATCTGACGTTACACAAGGAATGACTAGAACTGGAAGAGTCTATACACCTAAACATTTGGGAGGTTCAAGTAAGGATTCCACTACTAGGCAGCCTATCATTGAGATGGGGCCAGATGACATGTGGAGGAAAGTACAAGCAAAGGAGTATTCCATCATTGACCATCTGAACAAAACCCCTGCTCAGATATCTATCCTATCACTGCTGCAAAATTCAGAGGCACATAAGAACGCTTTAATAAAAGTACTGAGCGAGGCTTATGTACCCAGTAATATCACTGGTGGAGAAATGACCAATATAGTGGGGAAAGTACTAGAAAGTCATAAGATTATCTTCCACGAAGATGAGCTAATTCCTAAGGGGTTGAATCACAATCAGGCATTGCATATCACAGTGCAATTTGAAGACAAATTCATTGCTAGGGTCCTTTTTGACGGAGGTTCAAACCTAAATATTTGTCCATTGGATACTCTGAAAAGGTTGGACAAAGGTTTCCATGAAATA